CTTTCCAGGTACTAACAGTCAAATAAACAATAGTTGTGTTAGGAAACCTATTGCCTATCCCGTCACTTCACTTCCGGGTGAAGGAGGCGCAACGTGTTCCTCTGTTTTTTCATTTCAGCCAAAGGCTAAAGTAGCCCCAGCAGTCACTAGTTTCCAGGATCCAGACCTGAAAGGGTTAACTGATGAGATGCCGACCACTAGTTCCCGCTTGACAATTCAAGATATTCCCAAAAAGGATGGGCCTGTGGGTAAGACTGAGCATTCCTCAGTACAGGTAGAAACTACTGCTGTGACCGGTAATGTATGGAAAACAAGTAATATGTTGACACATTCTAAATTCTTATGTGAATTAGAAGAACATGAAGGAAGGTACTACATGTCTGTAGAAATACAGGATTCGCTACCCCAGCCTTTTACAGGGTTAATAGATACTGGTTCACAAGCCACTATCTTATCCAATACCTACTTCCAGCAGGTAATGGACTTAGCAACGGATAAGCCGAAGCTAAGAGGTTTCCCCAATGCTCTGTTGAGTGTAGGAGAAAATGCCCTTCATGTTATTGGCAATACCTGGTTAAAGTTTAAAATAGGTAGCAAAACCTTTAGACACCCGGTGATAGTGGTAGATCTCCCCTATGACCGACTGATTCTGGGTATAGACATACTCAGAAGACTTAACACAATTATTGACTGTGTGAATGGAATTGTATGGTCACAAGCTAAGGTTCCCATAACCTATGAGAAATCACATGTTCGATCTGATCGTAACTGCCATGTGATAGAAGAAAGACCTGACTCAATTGAGGTACATTTTAGAAATAGTCAGTCACCTGACGTGACTATCCTACAGGTGAATGATGCAATCGCACCTGTAGATGAGCATTCCATAAGAATTGCTCCAGAGAGGATCCAGAATGTCTCTCTGGAAGGTGATGTTTTAACCATTTCTCTCCACAGGGACTATGTTGAATCTGTAGATCTGGCGGGTCATGCTCAATTCCTTGCCAGAATTGAAAGGGTTAATAACAACTTATTCTTTCCTATTCAAATAAATGACTTAGGAAGAAGTAGGAATGCAAAGCTGGATTTACAGAGTGAGAACAGCTATATTAGCAGAAGTCTGTTAAAGCAGATCGCTAATCCTAAAATGATCAGATATGCTTCCCCACATGACAGGTGGATCCAGAATCTGGACGGCGAATCAGAGAGTCACAATGTGATAGCAAAATGTTTACTATCTATTTCCATCGGAAATAAGACAGTTAAACATCTATTCTTAGTGATAAACGAACCTCGCTATCAGGTTTACGTTGGCAATGATGTCATACATCGTTTTGCCATACACCTTGACCTGATTAATTCCAACTTGTGGACAAGGTTAAAAGGTAATCCTTGTGGATACCTTCACGAGGAAAACGCTCTGAAATCAGGACAAATACTCCCATATGCGGTAAGTATCAAAGTACCTGATGACATAACCATCCCACAGGGGACAAGTAATTTTCTTTTACCCATACAGGTCAAGGAAGGTCAGAGATTGGAAAACTCTGATGCCCTAATCTGTTTATCCAACAGGATACAACAATTAGGGATGGTGGTAACACATACACCAATGGTAAGTATTGGTAAGAATCCCACCTATATCATGGTCAACAATGTTACACCCAATAGTGTTACTTTACCAAAAGGAACATTATTAGGTCTAGCATTGGATGCTGAGTACTATACATTTGGTTTCCAAAACCAAATTATAGGCCTCATCCCTGAAGAATACTTAACTGAGGACGAAATTGTCGATCAAATATTCCATTCCTCCCCAGAAGGATTATTCACTATCCTATCTGTATATCCCTTCAACGTTGAAGAAGGCTCGTGTAAAATCGAAGAAGCATCTATCACCTTCGATCATCCGCTCAATGAGCAGGAATCACAAGAGTATCACGACCAAAGAGAAAAGGTAAGTCAACACCGAACTGACCTAACTTCTAGGCTTGAAGAAGCTTATGAGATAGGCCAGCCTGAAATCTTTCCAGGATTTCAGGAAAGGCTAGAAGAGCAAATATCTTTAGCTGACGGTTGCTCCAACGATGCTGAGCGGCAACAGCTAAAGGAAATCCTTTTGGAATTCCAAGATATTTTTGCCAAAGATTCCTACGACTGTGGGTTAACTAACCTCCACGTAGCCAGAATACAAACTGATCCAAATTTACCACCTGTATTTATCAAACAATATAGACTCCCATTAGCGTCATATGATGGTCTACAAGACATCATTCAGAATTTAAAGGAAAGGGGCATTATACGTCCAGTGCACAGTTCGTATAATAATCCGATCTTGGGGATTCTGAAACCTAATGGACAATGGCGTTTATGCGCTGACTTACGACAGCTAAATAAACGCGTCTATATGTCTGGTTGGCCAACGCCATACATAGACCAATGTTTGGTACAAATGCAGGGATCCAAAATATTCACTGCCATTGACTGTGCGCAGGGATATTGGACTGTACCAGTCCATAATGAAGACCAATACAAATTGGCCTTCACATTTGGAAAGCAGCAGTATACCTGGACCCGTATGCCTTTCGGTTATATAAACTCTGGTCATGAATTCGCTGTGTTCATGCATAAAGCTATGCCTGACGCACTCGAGAGAGGAACGTTATCATATGTCGATGATGTCTTGCTGAAAAGCACTTCCTTTGATAAGCATATCTTAGAGATTAGACATGTTCTCACTCAGTTAAGAGAGGCAGGGATTAAACTGTCTTTACAAAAGGCACAATGGTGTCGCACCCATGTCAATTTCCTTGGACATGAGGTAACTTCTGAAGGATTAAATCCCCAGAGGAAGAAGGTTGAAGCCCTACTAAAGGCTAAAACACCTTCAAACATCAGGGAATTAAGATCGTTCCTTGGTATGACTAACTACTCCCGTAAGTTTATAGATAACTATGCAGAAATAACTAAACCACTCTTACACCTGCTTAAAAAGGAAACTACCTGGAACTGGGGGGAGCCTCAGGACCAAGCGGTAAGTGAACTGAGGAGGAAGCTCACTCAGGCACCCTGTTTAGCATACCCAGAGGGGGGTAAACCCTTCTATCTGGAGACAGGATATACCGATTTAAGCATAAGTGCTGTTTTGTACCAGAAGCAGGACAGTTTAAACAAAGTTATTGCATGGTGAAACCCTAAACATTGATGATCTTATGGGTTCAATTCATGTTGCAGCCATAACTAGACGACAGGCTAGAGATAATGCCGACTTAAATGTCGTGCAATGGAGTCAAGAAGCTCCTAGTGAGGACCTGATTACTAGCCAAAAGAATGATCCCGTCATAGGCATATTCTATAAACATATAGAAGACCCTACTGCCAATCCCATCACAGATGAGGATTGCAAAGATAATGAAGATTTACGAATCTTGATGAGATATAAAGTCCAATTTAGTATCATGGATGGGTTACTGGTCAGGACTTCTAAACATGGTATACAACAATGGGTAGTCCCAACTGTATACAGAGGGTTAATGCTCCAACACGCACATGATGCACCTACATCTGGGCATCGTGGTGATAAGATCACATATGAGATATTGCGTGATTATGCATATTGGCCACACATGTTAAGGGATGTTAAGACATACTGTCAGGGATGCTTGATTTGTCCGCAATATCAACCCCATGGTCCAACCCATCGTGCACCACTTCAGAAGAGGGGGGTGTCATTACCCTGGTCTGATATTCAAATTGACTTTATAGGTCCTGTAACAAGATCTTCAAGAGGTAACAAATACATGTTAACCGTTACATGTATGTACACAAAGTGGATAGAATGTTTGCCTTGTAAAGAGAACACGAGTACCGTGTGCGCCACTTTGTTGATTAACCATGTCTTTTCCAGGTTCGGTCTACCTCAAAGAATTGAGTCAGACAGAGGTAGTCATTTTACCAGCGAAGTAATGGCTAAGATGTGGAACATTCTAGGTGTTAAACGAAAGCTACATATTGCATACCGCGCTGCGTCTAGCGGGGGGGTAGAGCGATATAACCAGTCTATCGTTAATATTCTGAAGAAATATGTTAAGGAGTCTGGTAAAGACTGGGACATTAAATTGCCCCTAGTTTTAATGGCGATTAGAGCTACACCTAGCACTGCTACCAAATTGTCACCTTTTGAATTGATGACAGGAAGAAAGATGGTTTTACCACAGCATTTACTATATCGTACTTCAGATCATAACTTGATCAATGCTGCCACTACGCATCAGTATATCGAAGATTTGCGCAAGCATTTACAGCATGCGTTTGCTTTTGCCCAAAAGAATCTAGAAAAAGCAGCGACAGGGGTTAAGACCTATTACGATCTAAAAACCACGAAAAAGGAATATGAGATAACAGATCAAGTCTATCTGTATAACTTTGCGCGAAATCAAGTCAAGGAAAAGAAATTTTTACCTTCTTGGAAAGGGCCATATGTCATTATTGACAAAATTTCCCCAGTAGCGTACAAGATAAAAATTCCTAAGGATGGTGATTTTATTGAAAAGTGGGTTCACATTAACCAGTTGCGTGCTTGTCATCCTAAATCTCAATTAAGGATTATAGGTGCGGATTCGGATGCAGAAGGGTGAACGACTAACCTGGATGAATGCTTGATTCACGTGGTATAGTATGATGTGAAATGTTGTGATGTGCCATGATCTCATGTACGTTCATGTCATTAACCATTTCCTTGCCATCCAATAACTACATTTTCTAAGCAGGTTACTAGCTTTTTAGCTGCTATAGGCAAATTACTGAAGAGTCAGTAATAAATGTAGTGAGGGATGAAGTTATAAAAATAGAATTAGAGCGAATACATATGTTGATGAATCGTAATAATGTGTTATCCTAGGCCAAGTGATGTCACACTGTTATAAGTTTGTATGCTTAACAAACCTTGAATCATTAGTAGATAAGCCTGAAACGAGTTCCTGATCCGTGACTGTCGAAAGATGTCCAAGAAGGATGTGGCGTGTTTCTGGATCGTACTGCTCCTGTGCCAAGAGCTACGGACCGACCCGATCGCAGAGATGGGACCATCCTCCGGCATCCTGATTCAAGAGACACCAGGGTTCATCTTAACAGAGAAGAGGATCCTGACCAGACGTGTGTTCGTCAGCTTGGACCCCAAGATTTCCATCGAGAAGGCATACAACATTTCATCGATGCAGCTTCCTGAGTTACAGACTTGGTACCAGATGCACCTCCAAAGAGCACAGGACCGTGTGCGAAACATCTTGGAGCAAGCCCGGAAACCATTTGTATCCAGTTCTATTCCGATGAGCAACCGACCCAAAAGGTTCCTCACCGCTATAATTGTTGCATTAGTTTGTGCCACTGTCGGTGCAGTTGTCGCAACTGGAATGTCTGCAGCCAACTCTATTACTGTCCAAAAGCTGGATATGGAAATCTATGCGCTAAAGCAACACATTAACGATATTCATCAGGTGATACAACAGCAAAGAACACTTCTCCAAGACGTGTTAACTATTGTGGAAGACACAGTTGTTACAACAAATTTGCATTCGGAGTTAATTGCCAAATCCACTGAGTTGCACCAAAGTCATGACTTATTTAAGCGTGAACTTCTATTTCTGCATGACCCAATATTGTTCCACACACTTGCTTTTCTTGACGAAGTGCAAACTGGAATGATCGAATTGGCAGGGGGACGCATACCTCTGTACTTTGTATCCAAGGATATTGTTCATGCGATGCTTGCCAATGTGGATGGAGAGACAATTGAGCCTATGCAATTAAATCTGGCCTTTGAGATGGGGAGCGCTATACCTCTCTTAATTGATCCGGAACGTATGGAGATTTGCTTTTTATTGGCCATACCATATGTAACTCTCAAAAACATTTTTCAAATGAAAATAATGTACTATGTTAATAATGATATTATGGTTGATTGTACTAAGTGTAAAGTTCAAAACTCTTACAGGTACAAATATATAAAAAAATGTTCATTCCACGCACAGGCCTATGTTAGAAATGATGTGATTGCACAATATGTCTGATAACTTCTATAGTGCTTATTCATAAGCTAAATTAATTTTGGCTATGAAATGCACTAAAGGGGGGTTATGTCAGAGTATTTATATCGGCAGACATTTTGTGCTATGATAGAAACTAAAAGTGTATATTCTGAGTCACTCTGAACAAACCAGACTCCATTTTGTTATTTCAAATTAACAAAGAAGACACTAGATTTCTTTCTGTAAGACTGGCCTCTTTGCCAGAGCTAAGGAATGCATAGCATAGTATAAACAAGTGATAAGAAGAATATAATCAAATCTAAACCCAGACAATTGTGACAGAGAAGATTAAATTTAATATTTAACTGTCTATATATATATAAGGTACCATTGTATGGAAAAGGGTAAACTTAGTTCATGATCTGTCATATCAGAAATTATAGCAGATTTGCAGACACATAGTCTGGACAAAATTTAAGAACCCCTTTGATCTTTGAAGGATATGTAAGTTATAGCCACTATCTAGATAGGCCAAAATGACGTCAAAATAGCCACCAGGAAAAGTTAACTCTTTCCTGGATAGGTATGTTTAGTGGGACAAGACTGCCCTCTACAGACCAAATAACTAATTTGCGATCTGGAAGATAACCACACCTCTAGTGCTTCTATTGGGTTATCAACTGATGACGTACAGAGAGTCTGGCCCTTTAAAGTTAAGACAAAGGGAAGATACAAGAGACGAGAGGAGGCAGATGCAAGATATGCAAAGGAGAGGAGAGAGGAATTGGAAGTTTGGGGACTCCAACTCGGACAACATCTGAGACTAACACTCTACTCCTAAAACTCTAACACTTAGAATTTACTGACTTTCTAACCAACACCTCCATGCAGAGAGACTACCAATCGGATGAAATATCTACTCAACTGGTAATTATACTGGTTTCATTTAATTAAATTAAATTAATTAAAATGTATTAATAGCATTATATATGACTGGATAAAGCACGGTCAGATTTCCATATTAAGAAATCTTAGTAACTAAGAATATATAGTTATAAATATTCCATTCTGCAGGTGGAATTAAGAATAATTATATATTGATGTGATATTATCACGTGTTAGCATACCGCTGTTTTATCCAGGTGTATTGATTTGCTCTAAATTAAGATAGATATCTTTTAGACAAATTAAAAATCTGCTTATATAATATATTAGACTCTCTTATTGGATGGTTTAAGAAAATGACTAGTGAACTGGTTTAAATGTTATTTTATTTAAAAATTACATAAGAATAGATCTTAACTACCTAGGAGATCTAGCCAGCATTGAAAGGGTTATTCTAACTGTCTGCTAAACTTTACGGCCTTACGCTGCACTCTGAGGAATTCTGTTCTTCGCTGTGAAAAGTTTCACTTTCAGTCTGTGGAAGCTAGTCATAAATCGTCAGAATTCTTGACAGAAAATGCTAGTTAGCCATTGAAACGTAATACCCATTCCTTTGTATTGCATATAATTTTGTACTGGATATTCATTGATTATTGTTATGCATGTTACATAATATTATTTGTTAATTATTGGTTATCATAAATAAAATCTATTTTTATACATTGTGATTATTTATATGAAATACTTTTCACTTAACACGATAAACATTCTTTGGGATCTGAGAATTGAATTAGTGGGCAATTCTCACTGTTACTATTATTATCCCATAAATATCCCCACAGTATCAGAACCAGGACAGTTTAAACAAAGTTATTGCATATGCTAGCAAGACTTTGTCGCCTGTTGAAGTTAAATTCAACACGTGTGAGAAGGCGTTATTGTCGACTGTCTGGGCACTACAAAATTTTCGTAGCTATATCCAAGGTGAGAAAATAATTGTAGAAACAGCTCACCAACCTCTACAGTATCTGCAGAGTGAAAGAATTAGAGACGGTAATCTCTCTAACAGTCGGATTACTGCATGGACTCTATCCTTACAGGGATGGCCATTAGAAGTCCGTTATAAACATAATAAGAGAAGCCCAGTTGCCCAAGGTTTAGCAGAATTACATGACTGTACTGCTCTATCTCTGGATGATAATGACACCGGAGATGACTTCCTAGAAGAGCAATTGCTATCCCCTTATAAAGTTTATGACGAGGAATACTGTCGACCACTACCGTGGGTATACATTGATGGTTGTTCATATCACCACGCCGCTGGTGCTGAACGGAAGTTAGTTGCAGGTATCGGAATCGCCTGGACAGGTGATTATCCTAATGTATCTATAGGATACAATATTGGTTCCAAAAGCAGTCAGATAGCCGAACTCTGTGCAGTATATAAGACCATTCAAATGGCAATAGAATATGGTATCAAAGAATTCGTTATCATAACTGATTCCAACTATGTTCGCAACAGTTTTGTCGAATATCTGCCTAGCTGGAAACATAACCAAATGCTGAAAAGCAATAACAAACCTCTTAAACATGGGAAATTGTTTTGTAAAATCGATGAGTTGGTTAAGGAAAATGGTTTAACCATATATTGGAAGAAAACCAAAGGATGGTAATGACTTAGCCGATTCACTGGCAAAACAAGCTACCTTCAATGATGATCTTATGGGTTCAATTCATGTTGAAGCCATAACTAGATGACAGGCTAGAGATAATGCCGACTTAAACGTCGTGCAATGGAGTCAAGAAGCTCCTAGTGAGGACCTGATTACCAGTCAAAAGAACGATTCCGTCATAGGCATATTCTATAGACATAAAGAAGACCCTACTGCCAATCCCATCACAGATGAGGATTGCAAAGATAATGAAGATTTACGAATCTTGATGAGCTATAAAGTCCAATTTAGTATCATGGATGGGTTGCTGGTCAGAACTTCTAAACATGGTATACAACAATGGGTAGTCCCAACTGTATATAGAGGGTTAATGCTCCAACACGCACATGATACACCTACATCTGGGCATCGTGGTGATAAGATCACATATGAAATATTGCGTGATTATGCATATTGGCCACACATGTTAAGAGATGTTAAGACATACTGTCAGGGATGCTCGATTTGTCCGCAATATCAACCCCATGGTCCAACCCATTGTGCACCACTTCAGAAGAGGGGGGTGTCATTACCCTGTAACAAGATCTTCAAGAGGTAACAAATACATGTTAACCGTTACATGTATGTACACAAAGTGGATAGAGTGTTTGCCTTGTAAAGAGAACACGAGTACCGTGTGCGCCACTTTGTTGATTAACCATGTCTTTTCCAGGTTCGGTCTGCCTCAAAGAATTGAGTCAGACAGAGGTAGTCATTTTACCAGCGAAGTAATGGCTAAGATGTGGAACATTCTAGGTGTTAAACAAAAGCTACATATTGCATACCGCGCTGCGTCTAGAGCGATATAACCAGTCTATCGTTAATATTCTGAAAAAATATGTTAAGGAGTCTGGTAAAGACTGGGACATTAAATTGCCCCTAGTTTTAATGGCGATTAGAGCTACACCTAGCACTGCTACCAAATTGTCACCTTTTGAATTGATGACAGGAAGAAAGATGGTTTTACCACAGCATTTACTATACCGTACTTCAGATCATAATTTGATCAATGCTGCCACTACGCATCAGTATATCGAAGATTTGCGCAAGCATTTACAGCATGCGTTTGCTTTTGCCCAAAAGAATCTAGAAAAAGCAGCGACAGGGGTTAAGACCTATTACGATTTAAAAACCACGAAAAAGGAATATGAGATAACAGATCAAGTCTATCTGTATAACTTTGCGCGAAATCAAGTCAAGGAAAATAAATTTTTACCTTCTTGGAAAGGGCCATATGTCATCATTGACAAAATTTCCCCAGTAGCGTATAAGATAAAAATTCCTAAGGATGGTGATTTTATTGAAAAGTGGGTTCACATTAACCAGTTGCGTGCTTGTCATCCTAAATCTCAATTAAGGATTATAGGTGTGGATTCAGATGCAGAAGGGTGAACGACTAACCTGGATGAATGCTTGATTCACGTGGTATAGTATGATGTGAAATGTTGTGATGTGCCATGATCTCATGTACGTTCATGTCATTAACCATTTCCTTGCCATCCAATAACTACATTTTATAAGCAGGTTACTAGCTTGTTTAACTGCTATAGGCAAATTGCTGAAGAGTCAGTAATAAATGTAGTGAGGGATGAAGTTATAAAAATAGAATTAGACAGAATACATATGTTGATGAATCGTAATAATGTGTTGTCCTAGGCCAAGTGATGTCACACTGTTATAAGTTTGTATGCTTAACAAACCTTGAATCATTAGTAGATAAGTCTGAAACGAGTTCCTGATCCGTGACTGTCGAAAGATGTCCAAGAAGGATGTGGCGTGTTTCTGGATCGTACTGCTCCTGTGCCAAGAGCTACGGACCGACCCGATCGCAGAGATGGGACCATCCTCCGGCATCCTGATTCAAGAGACACCAGGGTTCATCTTAACAGAGAAGAGGATCCTGACCCGACGTGTGTTCGTCAGCTTGGACCCCAAGATTTCCATCGAGAAGGCATACAACATTTCATCGATGCAGCTTCCTGAGTTACAGACTTGGCACCAGATGCACCTCCAAAGAGCACAGGACCGTGTGCGAAACATCTTGGAGCAAGCCCGGAAACCATTTGTATCCAGTTCTATTCCGATGAGCAACCGACCAAAAAGGTTCCTCACCGCTATAATTGTTGCATTAGTTTGTGCCACTATCGGTGCAGTTGTCGCAACTGGAATGTCTGCAGCCAACTCTATTACTGTCCAAAAGCTGGATATGGAAATCTATGCGCTAAAGCAACACATTAACGATATTCATCAGGTGATACAACAGCAAAGAACACTTCTCCAAGACGTGTTAACTATTGTGGAAGACACAGTTGTTACAACAAATTTGCATTCAGAGTTAATTGCCAAATCCACTGAGTTGCACCAAAGTCATGACTTATTTAAGCGTGAACTTCTATTTCTGCATGACCCAATATTGTTCCACACACTTGCTTTTCTCGACGAAGTGCAAACTGGAATGATCGAATTGGCAGGGGGACGCATACCTCTGTATTTTGTATCCAAGGATATTGTTCATGCGATGCTTGCCAATGTGGATGGAGAAACAATTGAGCCTATGCAATTAAATCTGGCCTTTGAGATGGGGAGCACTATACCTCTCTTAATTGATCCGGAACGTATGGAGATTTGCTTTTTATTGACCATACCATATGTAACTCCCAAAGACATTTTTCAAATGAAAATAATGTACTATGTTAATAATGATATTATGGTTGATTGTACTAAGTGTAAAGTTCAAAACTCTTACAGGTACAAATATATACAAAAATGTTCATTCCACGCACGGGCCTATGTTAGAAATGATGTGATTGCACAATATGTCTGGTAACTTCTATAGTGCTTATTCATAAGCTAAATTAATTTTGGCTATGAAATGCACTAAAGGGGGGTTATGTCAGGGTATTTATATCGGCAGACATCTTGTGCTATGATAGAAACTAAAAGTGTATATTCTGAGTCACTCTGAATAGACCAGACTCCATTTTGTTATTTCAAGTTAACAAAGAAGACACTAGATTTCTTTCTGTAAGACTGGCCTCTTTGCCAGAGCTAAGGAATGCATAGCATAGTATAAACAAGTGATAAGAAGAATATAATCAAATCTAAACCCAGACAATTGTGACAGAGAAGATTAAATAATAAAATTTAACTGTCTATATATATATAAGGTACCATTGTATGGAAAAGGGTAAACTTAGTTCATGATCTGTCATATCAGAAATTATAGCAGATTTGCAGACACATAGTCTGGACAAAATTTAAGAACCCCTTTGATCTTTGAAGGATACGTAAGTTATAGCCACTATCTAGATAGGCCAAAATGACGTCAAAATAGCCACCAGGAAAAGTTAACTCTTTCCTGGATAGGTATGTTTAGTGGGACAAGACTGCCCTCTACAGACCAAATAACTAATTTGCGATCTGGAAGATAACCACACCTCTAGTGCTTCTATTGGGTTATCAACTGATGACGTACAGAGAGTCTGGCCCTTTAAAAGTTAAGACAAAGGGAAGACAAGGAGGGCAGATGCAAGAGATATGCAAAGAAGGAGAGGAGAGAGGAACTGGAAGTTTGGGGAATCCAACCTCCATGCAGAGAGACATCCAAATAAGTTCCTGAGACTACTAATCGGATGAAATATCTACTCAACTGGTAATTATACTGGTTTCATTTAATTAAATTAAATTAATTAAAATGTATTAATAGCATTATTAATTACATAAGAATAGATCTTAACTACCTAGGAGATCTAGCCAGCATTGAAAGGGTTATTCTAACTGTCTGCTAAACTTTACGACCTTACGCTGCACTCTGAGGAATTCTCTTCTTCGCTGTGAAAAGTTTCACTTAAGTCTGTGTTAAGGATACCTCATAAATCGTCAGAATTCTTGACAGAAAATGCTGTTTAGCCAGTGAAACGTAATATCCATTTCTTTGTATTGCATATCATTTTATACTGAATATTCATGGATTATTGTCATGCATGTTGCATAATATTATTATTATTATAAATAAAATCTATTTTTATACATTGTGATATTAATTATATGAAATACATTCCACTTAACACGATAAATGTTCTTTGGGATCTGAGAATTGAATTAGTGGGCAATTCTCACTGTTACTATTATTATCCCATAAATATCCCCACAGCTTGTTATTTTGTTTATTCTGATTACTGCCACCCTTTGACCTTTGGCTTTCCCACGACGATTCTCCTGCATTATCGGTTCCTGTACTGCGACTTGGAGAATTATCCTGCACAGCCCCCGTGACATAAGGAACTGACCATATGGAGTCCGCAGAGATGTGCACACTCCTGTCCCAGCAAGTGTCTAGCCTGGCCCAGACTGTTTCGGAGCTGCAGCAAGAAAGGTTATTTCTTAAAGGCACAGTATGCTCAGCCCCGGAAGCTACTTATCCAGAACCCTATGTCATACTGCCTGACAGGTTCGACGGTTCCCGTTTCACCTTCTCAATGTTCAAGATGGATTGTGAACTCCTGTTTGCCTTATAAACCCAGAACCTATGCCACAGACTTTATCAAGGTAAGTTTTGCTATCAATGTACTTTCTGGACGGATTAAGGCATGGGCATACCAGAAGCTGCAGGAGAATAGTACTGTCTTGGACACCTGGGAGTCGTTTATGTCCACAATGGACTCACAGTGCTCTGCTTCTAAAAAGGAAACTCCCAAACCTGCTCAAACGACCCGCAGAGCTCGGTTACCTAAAAAAGAAGACTTTGTACAAACTTATCAAGTTCCCATCTTGTTCCAGCATGAACCCACTCACAGGAACCTGTACTGTTACCCTGATTGTACTCCAGCTAGCAGTGGAACCTCAGTGGACAGGGGGAACGTATGGAGATCGGATTTACCAGGACTAGGTTGCCTCTAAAGGAAAAAGACCGTAGGAGAGTCCATGGTCTGTGTCTATAGTGTGGAGAAAGAGGGCATTTCATCTCTCTCTGCCCAATTCATCCATCTAGACAAAGACCCTTCTATTGGGTACCCTATTGACTTATCCAGTCATCTCAGAAACACAGTCTAGAAGCTGCCAATTTTGCTGCCAGCCATGTCTCCGATCTGTGATACAGACGGGTACTTAGACTATGGTAAATAACATACCCAGTACTCCTAAGAAGAAGTCTGAACATCCTCCAGAAAACAATAATGTTAAAGCTGGTACCATCACCACTTCCTGTCAACTTAAAGAGGAATTACCTATGGACTGTACCTATGCCTCCAATGGTACCAAAGTTTGCAAAAACGATTTGGTGATGTTTGAAAAGGCTTTGAAAGCTGCAAACTCTGCTCCTGGTAATGTACCTAAGGAAAAAGATTCAGAGCAAAAGACTCCTGGAATCAAGGTTGTGACGAGACCAATCTCGCCACATTGCATTGGAGAAGCCTGGTTGCTCGCCTGCTGCCTCTGGACTATGGCCCCATGTTAAAAGACTTTGTTTCGCCTGCAGAAAAGCTTTATTCGTGCTTTTCTGCCTGGTGTTCGGTAGATTCAATCTACTGAACAACCGCACGAATGAATAGACCACCTGGGAGCTGGAGTGTGCCGGCAATTAACCTCCCTGAAGCTGCGGTTAACCGCAGCTTAATTGACGAATGCTGGGTGGCCGCCATTCGTATCCCGAACACGAGGTCACGGCTATTTTAAACATGCAAATGCACAGCGGTGTTCGACGCTTAATTCATGGAACTGAAATCGGACACAGTTTTGCGCGAACACCGCTGAAGCCGCCGACCTCCCTTCTTGTTCGGTGAAAGTGCACGAACTGCCCGGTGTCGGTAGTTTTGTTTGAATGTGTTATACCCCAGATAGGAATCCCATGGAGCCCATTCGCATGAAACTGACTGTAAAGACTTTGGCTCCATGGCGATTAAACTGTATTCGTGTGGTCTGAGCGCCATTCGCTTAATAATGTGCGCTCAGACCTGAGCTATCTTGGGATATGTTAAATGTATAGTTTTAATGTAATGTGTCTTACATGGTGTATTTTAATAGTAATTCCTGTTTTAGTATCCCCACGTGCATAATGGCGATTTGCCTTTGTCTTGGGAGATAATTGAATTACTTCTCAATTATCTCCCAGGGCAGAGGGGAGGAAGCCAAGATGCATTGTGGGAATATACTGTGACTGTGTGTCCTATTTGTCTGCTTGTCTGTCCCTTGTCACAGTCTCCCATTTGGTCCCCTAGGGGAGTGTCCACCAGGTGGGAGACCTGCATAAATACTGGGCAGGTAGCCCTCATTAAACAGACCACTGCTTGACCCTCAACACGGAGCTTTGTCTCGTCTTTGGGGGGATTTACTGAATGCTGATAGAGACTGATTGCTAGGAGTGTAAGCCGCTTGGATGCTTTTCCTATTCGTCT